GTGAGACTCTGCCTCAAAAAAGAAAAAGAAAAAGAAAGAAAATAAAACATTAGCTGGGTGTGGTGGTGTGAGCCTGTAGTCCCAGCTACACGGGAGACGGAGGCATGAGAATAGCTCGAACCAGAAGGTGGAGGTTACAGTGAGCTGAGATTGCACCACCGCATGCCACCCTGGGTGACACAGCGAGACTCTATCTCAAAAATAAATAAATAAAAATAGCAACATAGTATATTTTTAAATCTTTCTTATTCTGCTTCACCCCTTCTCTGCCAGTGAAAATTTTCTGTGCTCTTCTGCAGAGAATGCCCGTTACTGATGCACTCCAAGTCTTGAGTGAAAGTTGTACCTTTCTGGATGTGACCTCACTACCCTAGGTCATCTGAGCAAAAATATTTTCTGAACAATTTTTTGTGAACGCATGCAGGCTGAAGATTTTATTAGTCTGCAAAAGGTTTTGATAGTGGAGAGAGTATTTCTCTTGGTTTTCCCTTATTATCATGTGAGTTTAGTAGTCCACATCTCAAATTGTTGTATTAAACAAATGCGCAATCTATGGGACCTTTCTAGGAAAAATGGCGAGCATCGTTACCAGGCCCTCTTTGGGACCTACGTTCATTCTTGGAAGAGTTCTTCACGTTTCCAGTGCTCTTTGGTTTTAAAGGCAAGCCTCCAAGCCTTCCTTTCCCCTTCTGGATGCTGTGGTGGTTGCCATGCATGGCGTCCTCAGCCACTGCCTAGGAGGCTGCTGCTTTTCTAGAGCCGGCTTGATGGTAGAGATGAGCTCTGTTTTCACGATGATGACATGGGTGGTGTCTCCTCACAAGCATCTCTTAAGGAGTCTCAGCCTGTGGGCCTGCCGGAGTGCTTGAGCTGCTCAGCCGGCCCTTCTCTAATCTCGACAGCCTGCCTCTCACTCAGGGACTTCCATCTGTCACGTTTCCACGTTTGTGTCTTTATCCACCTCATTCACTTTCCTGTTAGTCTTTCTGCCCTCATGAACAGTCTTTGCAGTTTTCTGGTTTCCACACTGTTTGTGGGAATGCCCCCTGGCCTTGCTGCTTCCCTCTAATAGTCTTTGTGTCCCTCGTCAGGCTCTGGTGTGTTGTGATTTAGGCAGCCATCTTGTGAGCATATTAGGAAATATCCATATACTCAGGGCAAATTAGAACCACTTGATTCTGTTTCCTCTTCAGCACAGATTGTGTGTGTGTGTGTGTGTGTGTGTGTGAGATCAGGGACTGACACTTGTATTTTCTTTTGGTGATAGGGGATGAAATGAGAACTGAGAAGGAAGGATTAAGTCCAAAGGAGCATGTGTCCAAAGAAACAGAGTCCTTCAGACTGACGGTGGGGGGCTGCCAGGGACTGTTTCCCAGCACTTTAATTTTGGGAGCGGCCTAGAGAAGCCCCGAGGTCATTGGATAATTAAGACAAAGTCAAAGAGCAGACATTTGACAGATACCTCAGCCAGGTACCATGAGGCCTCTGTGGTCAAGAATGGAGAGAAGTTTGAGAAATTAGGAAAAAATATCAGTGTCAGCACACAACTAACTACGAAGAAGACAGTTCCTAGTGGTCAGATAGCTTATGAATGTGCGAAATGTGGCAGATATTTCATTCGAACGGCAGACTTCCACCGACATCAGAAATGTCACATTGGTGAAAGGTCTTTTGAATGCAAAGAATGTGGAAAAGACTTAGATATAATTCGTTACTTATTCGGCGTCAGATAATTCACACTGGCAAGAAACCATTTAAGTGTAAAGAATGTGGAAAAGGTTTAAGTTCACACACAGCCTTGACTCAGCGTCAGAGAATCCACACTGGAGAAAAGCCCTGTGAACGTCAGGAGTGCGGCAAGGCCTTCAGTAGCAGCTCGGTGTTCCTCCAGCACCAGAGGTTCCACACTGCGGAGAAGCTCTATGAATGTAATGAATGTTGGAAAACTTTCAGTTGCAGCTCGAGTTTCACCGTCCATCAGCGAATGCACACTGGGGAGAAACCGTATGAATGTATACAGTGTGGAGAACGATTAAGCTCACACACAGCCTTGACTCAGCATCAGAGAATCCACACTGGAGAAAAGCCCTTTGAATGTAGACTGTGGGAAGGCATTCAATCAGAAAATAGCCCTGGTTCAGCACCAGCCAGTTCACACTGGTGAGAAACCTCATGAGTATAAAGTGTGTGGTAAAACCTTTAGCTGGTGTGGAAGATTCATTCTGCATCAGAAACTACACACTCAGAAGACACCTATCCAAGCATAGGGCTATCCATAGTGAGGCACACTGTGTCTCTCCTTTTTTCTGTTTATTATTTTTTTTTTGAGACAGAGTCTTGCTCTTTTGCCATGCTGGAGTGCTGTGGCGTAATCTTGGCTCACTGCAGCCTCAGTCTCCCAGGTTCAAGTGATTGCCCTTCCTCAGCCTCCTGAGTAGCTGGGACTGCAGGCTCGCACCACCATGCCTGGCTAATTTTTTGTTATTTTAGTAGAGATCAGGTTTCACCATGTTGGCCAGGATGGTCTTGATCTGACCTTGTGATCTGCCCACCTTGGCCTCCCAAAGTGCTTGGATTACAGTCATGAGCCACCGCCCCCGGCTGTTTTCTCTTTAGTTTCATGCTCTTTACCAGTGTCCCCACTGCCCTTCCTGGGTAGACATGTGGCTTCCATCATGAAATCTTCCTCAAGTTTTTTGAACCCGTTTCCCCAACATGAAGTCTCTTTATGATTAAAGAAGACAAAACAAACAAACAAACAAACAAGCGAAAAACCCAAACTTAGAAACATAAAAGGAAATATAAGTTTCCAGATTTAAAGGATATGCTGGGTGGCCAGCAAGATGAGTTCAGGGGAATCTTACATTAAGGAAAGTTGCTGTGAATTATGAAAACACCAAGTTTGAAAAAGAGGATCATGGAGAAAAAAAATGAGACCCTAAAGTTTCTAGAGAAGGAAGACAGAAGATCAGAAATGAAAATGGCATCAGATTTCTCAACAGCAACCTTGAAAGTCAGAGGACAGACAATGTGTATGCCTTCAGACTTCTGATGGAAAATATTTTCCCCTGCAGTTCTATACTCTGAAGTATAAGTATAGAGTGAAGGCATCTGATACCCTTTAGATCTGAAACCTTTATCTCCCATGCATCCTTTCTCATATGTGCAACAGTACACAAGGAGTAAACCAGTCAATAAAAAGAGATATGTGGATACCCTATTACAGTCCATATATCAGAAGTCTCCTAAATTCAAAAACAGAGGGGTCTGTCCATGTGGAGCCATATGCATCATGGAAGACATTCCTAGTAGTGTGCAAAGTTCCAGAGACCTACCTCAGGTGCGGCGTCCACCCACCCGACTTACTCTTCAATTTCTCTTCACTAGTCAATTGTAGTCTGCGCCTTTGAAAAAGTCAGGATGTATGTACTCTTTGAGTCAGGTGTAAGGCACCATTTGTCTTAAGTTGACTCTTCTCATTGCTCTTTCAAGTGACCTCAAAGCAGGAAGCATTTTCTTGCAACTTCATCTAGTTATCTTTTAAGATCATGGAACAACCTATCATTATTGTCATTATTGCTGTTATCTGTGGAAATGACAGAATATGTAAATGTATTAGGTTTTGGCATCCCCTCCAGCTGCCAGCTAACTGTACACTAGTTTCCTTATCTGTAATAGGAAGATGACAATTAATCTACCTCAGAGGTTTGTATTGAGGATTAAATGCATTAATACATGTAGAAGTGCTTCAAACAGTAACTATATATAATAAAAGTATTACCTATTATTGGCTGGGCATGGTGGCTCACGCCTGTAATTCCAGCACTTTGGGAGGCTGAGGCAGGTGGATCATGAGGTCAGGAGATCAAGACTATCCTGGCTAATACGGTGAAACCCCATCTATAATGAAAATACAAAAAATTAGCTGGGTGTGGTGGTGTGCACCTGTAGTCCCATACTCGGGAGGCTGAGGCAGGAGAATCGCTTGAACCCAGGAGGAGGAGGTTGCAGTGAGCTGAGATCGCACCAGTGCGCTCTAGCCTAGGTGACAAAGTGAGACTCCATCTCAAAAGAAGAGAGAAAAAAGCATTACCTATTATAATCCTATTGATAAGTTTTGGCTTATCAATATACCAGTGAAACAGTTACCACAGTCAAGATGATAAACAGCCACCACCCAAAAACTTGGATTGTGCCCCTCCATAATCCCTTCCTCTTGGCCCTTCTCAGGCAACCACTGGTTGCTTTCTGTCACATGGATTAATTTTCATTTATTTTTTGGTCTGGTGTCTTTCACTCAGCATAATTACTTTGAGATGCACACATGTTGTTGCATATATATAGTTCATTCCTTTTTATTGCTGAGTAGTATTCCACTGTATGGATATGCCATAATTTGTTTATTCATTGACCTGTTGAAGGCCATTTGGCTTGTTTCCAGTTTTGGCCTATTACAAATAAAGCTGCTATGAACATTTGTGTCCGTGTCTTTGTAAGAATACATGCTTTCATTTGTCTTGATACCAGGGTGCAATGGAGAGGTCATTCAGTAGATTAGTGTATATTAAATGTTTACGCTTTTATCACATTTCTATTTTTTAGAGGTGAGGTGGTTCTTGCTTTGTTGCCCAGACTGGCCTCAAACCCCTGGGCTCAGGGTATCCTGCCTCAGTCCTCCTGGCCTACTCTAAGTAGCTGGGACTACAGGTGTGCACCACGATGCCCTATTTTACTTTTTGAGAATCTTCAAAGCTGTTTTACAAAAGAGGTTGTGCCATTGTACATTTCCACTTTCATTGTATGAGAATTGTACTTCCAAAACATCAGTGCCTACACTTGATGTCAGTTTTCAATGCTTTAGCTATTCTAATTGTTAAATGCTATCCCATTGCAGTTTTAATTTGCATTTCTCTAATGAATAATGTCCTTATTTGTGTTCCTGTTGTTCAGGCTGGAGTGCAGTAGCACCGACTTGGCTTACTGCAGTCT